GATTTAATGAATCAATATATTTAAACTCCTTTAATCTGTGCCCAGTTTGTATTAGATGCTCAGTAAACATCTGCTGGTTCTTTTTCCTTTTGCTGTTGTGATTCTGAGTGGCAGCAAAAATCCTTCCACGAAATTGCTTTTTCCCTGCTGTCATCTCTTACCCCAGTTGTGAAAATGGCCCTTCAAATTGGAGTGCCAGTTTGCAAATATTGCTGTCAAGTAATTGTAGGTTTTAATCCTAGCCTGTTTGGATAATGATGGCACTTTATGCCAGTCCCTCAGCTGCTCACAGTTTAGCATGTCATAATTTCCCAGAATTTTTTTTCTTCCTAATACCTGAAATTATCTCTCTGCAGTAAATGGAAGTCAGGGGGAGGGGAGAGGTGTTTTGATAGCACCACTTTCTGCCTGGGGCACACGCTTCACTTCAACTGCTTTCTACTCTTTTATTTCCCGTATGACAGTCATGAAATGAAAGTCAGATGCCATCAATAACGAATTTTTTTCAGCTATTGACTTTCTTTGGATGGTGGTGAGTGAAATCCTCAATCTTGGCTTCACCTTAGAACATTGGTTAACCTGGAAAACTTTTAAAACTGCTGTGGCCTGGATTATCCCATCCTTTAAGATACTGCTTTAATTGGCCTGGTGTTTGGCACAGGCATCAGAATTTTCTAAATCCTATCACCATCCAAAGTCGCACCAGACTCTGACTATAAAAAGCACCATGCTTTTTTTTTTTAACTGTAAAACATAACAAATCTACAAAAAAGTAGATAGTACATAAATATGAGCTTAATAAATTGTTGTTAAACAAACAACGATATATTCATGATCCAGTTGTCAACCCCCCAGAATGGGCAACCCCTCCTTGTCCATTCACACCCTTTCCATCCTCTCTGAAGGTAAACATTGTCATTTTTATAATCACTTTCTTTTGCTTTATTTTATAACTTAACCATATGAGTATGAATCCCTGAACAACATAGAATAGATTAGCACAGTTTTCAACTTTGTTGAAAAGGAATCATATGGCTTCTTTTGCTAATCATTATGTGGTTTTTCTCAGTTTGTGGTTTGGGATATAGCTATAGTTCTTTGCTTTTATAATTCTATAATCATATCAATATACTACATTGTTCTCTCCATTCCATACCTTATGCATATTTCTGATTTGTGATTTTCATTTATTATGTTGATTGAGATGTGTCAGTTTAAAATACTGTATATGTTTTAGGCGTATAGGTTCACACTTCTAAGAATGTATGTTATCAGACCACACCCACCATCAAAGCTTGAATAATCTTCCACCCTAGTCTTTTGGGGAGACCCTTCCTTAACTTGCCTCCACACCTCAACTTCCCTTTCTGGTAGACTCAGTTCTGTGGTCAGATTTCAAGGGTTTGTTTTGGTTTAGTTCTGTCAATTTCTTTATTTTGTTTCTTTTTATCCTACAAATGAGAGTGAAATAATCCAGCATTTCTTTTTCTCCTTTTACTCATATCACATGACATAATCCTCTTTAGTTCCACCCTTGTTGACACAAATGCAAGATTTCAACTTTTTTTAATAGTTGAGTAGTATTCCATTGTGTATATATAATACATATTTATCTACTCATTTGCTCTTGGGTACTTAGGTTGTTTCCATAACTTGGTTGTTATAAATAGTGCCACAATGAACATAGGAGTGCATCTATATCTTTGAAGCAGTGTCTATGTACTCTTTGGGTAGAGATCTATGGGAAGAATTGCTGGATCATATGGCAGATCTATTTTTAATGTCTTGAGAAATCTTCATACTGATTTTCACAGTGGCTGGGCAAGTCTACATTCTCACTAACAGTGTAGGAGGGTTTCTTTTACTCCACATCCTTGCCAACACTTTTTGTTTTGGGATTTTTTGATATGCATCACCCTCACATGTGTTAGTTGGTATCTTGTTGTGGTTTTGATGTGCATTTTCCTGATAATAACTGATGATGAGCATTTGTCATGATAACTATCTGTATATCTTCTTTGGAGAAGTGTCCAGCTTATCTGCACATTTTATGTTTGGGTTATTTTGGTTTTATTGTTGTTGAGTTGTAAGAGTTTTTTGTAGATTTTGATACTAAGCCCTTGTTGGATGTATGATGTGCAATTTTTTTCTCCAATTCACAAGAGTGTGTTTTTATTTTAATGATCCTTTCTTTCACTGTCCAGAAGTCTTGTTTACTTTGCCTTTATTTCCCTTGCCTTTGAAGTCAAGTCCCCAGACATCACTGAAGCCAGTGTCAAAGAGTGTGTATATAACATCTTTATTTATGTGTTGTTTGATATTTAGGTTGTTTCAATAACCTAGCTATTGTAAATAGTGCTGTAATGGACACAGGAGTGCATCTATCCCTTCTAAGTATTGTTTTTGTTTTCTTTGGATGGACACTCTTCTGAATAGGAGAAACATTTTGCTTGTATGTATTTTATGTTTTCATGTATTACATGCAAGTCTTTGACTTATTTTGAATTAATTTTTGTATGGTGTGAGGTAGTGGTCTAATTTCATTCCTTTGCATGTGGTTACCCAAATTCCCAGTATCATTTGTTGAATAGACTTTTCTTTCTCAGTGGATGTTCTTGGATTCTAGGTTGTAAAATGACTATCCATATAAGTGTGGATTTATTTCTGGGCTCTTGACTTTATGCCATTGGTCTGTGTGCCTATTTTTCTTCCCATATTACACATATTTGATTAGGATTGCTTTGTAGTATAATTTGAAACATGGGAGAACATTACATTTGTTCTTTTTTGTTGATTGCTTTGGCTATATGTCTCCTTTTTGGTGTCACATTAATTTCTAGTAATGTTTACTTTAATTCCTTAAAGAATGCCATTAGAATTTTGACAGTGATTGCAATAAGTCTATATTGTTTTGGCAAGATAGCCATTTTAAGAGTATTTCCTCATAGATGTATGATGCAAGCCTGATAAGAGTTCCTTTGTAGGTTACCTGCTTTTTCCCCTCAACCCACTTTCAATATTCTTTGTCTTGAACTCTTGGTAGTTTCACAGCTTTGTATAGTGGTATATGTTTCTAATTATGTTAGAATCAAAGTTCATAAATACTCAATACTCATCACTTCCTATTTACAATGTTTTAGTATTTAAGCCCTTGAAATTATTTATATCTATTGAATCTGTATGACAGAATTTATATCTATTGAATCTGTGTAATCATGTGCTATGGCACATCTCTTCTCAACTCTACATTTAGTAATATCACTTCTCAAACATCTATGGGAGAGATAATAACACTATTTATGTTGGTAAATGCTACAAAATGGGGCATTAAAAAAAGTGTCAGTGTTACATACTCATCAACATATCACTGAACATAGAACCCTTTTTCAAATCCTTATGCCAAATTGAAATAAGCTTTGAGTTTAATAGGACTCATAGAATACTAAAAGAATAACACAAAAAAAGTTGAATTGGTAGAACTCAAGTTTTCTGCTTACTTTTGACCTACCCTCAAAGAGAAGGACTTTGAGCATGTCTTTCTTACATGAATTCCAGGCTCCAAATTTCTGAGATAAGGGAAAATATCCTACCCTCACCTACCCCTCTACTCCTTTTCCTTTATACATTCATTTTTACCCTGAAGATTGAACTCCCTACAAGGTGACTGACCACAGGAATACCCATGATTCTTATTGCTTTGCACAGGATATAACCTTGCTCAGAATATAATATTCAGGCTATTTCACAGTGACTGGTTTATTCAGTGTTGAATAAAACCACCTGTGGAGCTCTGACCCAACAGTGCAAGGTTTGACTATTGAAGACTGCATTCACTTCCTCTTTCATTGAATAAATATTCAGCCAAATAAAAAATAAACAATAATGCCAACACATAGAGCCATCTCAATTAAGATTTAGCAAGAAAGATACCAAAATATTTTCTCTACAATATAATCTCCATGCATATGACAAATCTTAAAGGATAGCCTTATTTACATAACTATTTAGACTCTACCTTTAGCTTCTCTCTCTGGAACACTTGCATTTAACATTTCTTATTGCTCTCAGAACTTCTCTAAGAAGAAAATACACTTCAGAGTATATGCAAAATTCAACACGTCTCACTGCTGGTCACCTGGCCCACCCAACTTTATTTTTCGTTTGGACCACTTTGGGTTTCCCGCTTTCCACAATTGCTCCTCTTCTATCTGTTTCAACACAGTATCCTGAGTGATCTTGTTAAAGTATAAATTGGATCAGATGGCTCCTTTGCTCAAAATCCTCTACTGTCATCTCATGTAGCTTAGGGAGTTAGTCACAGTTACCTACCTAAGCTCTTCCTCCTTACTTCTTTGCCATCTGTTATTCTCCTTATAGTTCTTTTACTTAAGTCAAATGCTGTCTTGCTGTCCTTTGAACATACCAGATGGCTTCTTGCTTCAGGGGGTTTTCATGGGATTCACTTGTGCTGTGGAATGCTCCTATTCCTGAAAGCTGCATATTTCATTTTCTTATGTTCCTCAGATCTTTTCTCAGATGTCACTTTCCAGTGAAATCTTTTCCAATTACCTTATTACAGTTACAACCCTGCCATATTTCCTAGTCTCCTTTCCTCCCTAGAGATTACTACCTTCTAACTCACTTGCTTATTCATTCCCTTCTCACCCATACACATATGTCTACTCTTTTGTATGTGTCCAGCATAAAATTAGGTATCCTACATATGATCATCTTTCACTACCACCCCCAAGTAACTCTGCAGGGAGCATAGGACTTCATTTTAGGGATGAAGAAATTGAAGTTTAGAGAACTCTGATATCCCACTATGACAGAAGAGCCCATTCAGAAGTATAGAACCTGGGGAAGAATTCATGTTTGTCTGACTCCAAAACTGAACTCTGCCCACCTTAGAAAACTGAGATATTTAATCCAAGAAACTAACAGTGAATATTCTCACTATGATGGATTGTGTTTCTCACTGCTGTGTTATTTCTTTCCAGACCGTTTATGACCAGTGGTTCATTACTCTTTTTAACATTGTCTATACATCGCTGCCTGTTCTAGCCATGGGGATTTTTGACCAGGTACGTTTTTCTATATCTTTATAACGTGTTTTGCTCTGTTGATGCCTTTAGTTTCTAAGTAGAAAACACAAAACATGGAAAGAGTCCTAGGAGTTCAGTTGTTTTAATAGGTGTTGATGGATCAAAAACCCTTCCAGATGCCCGACCTCCCCAAAAGGGTTCTTTGATCAAAGTTTGGCTATTCTCCTCTTTGAGAGCCACACCCACATTATTACTCTAAAGTCTCTAAGAAGTCCTGCAGGAAACAGTCTCTTTAAATTCATTATAGTACAACAATTTCCAAACTCATATGACTCCACTTTCATTTACTTATTTTCCACATAGCACCTATTCATATAGCCTCATTTTCCGTATAGCTTCAGAACTAATGCCTTGTGGCTCAATCATTAGAAAATGCTGTATTAGCCTCTGGGAGATTATGGAGGACCATGCAGTATTAGGAACTAGGTTGGAGGGTAAAGGGCTAGCATATGTGGTGAGACTCAGTTGGCCAGCACAGCCCGAAACAGGAACAATAGGCCAGCATAACATCCTCCTAAAAGGAGGGGAGGGCATGAAGCCTGTAGCCATGGAGAGAATGGATACAGTGTTCCCATCTAGCTCATGGTGCTTGAGAAGGGAGGATTGAGGGAATCAGTTACAAAGATGGTAGATCCTTGGCACATTCAGAGCCTTGGAAGGTACTTCCTGGAAGGGGAAAGGTTTGGCTCCCTATGGGGAAGTGGAAGGCTAGCCAGAGGAGTTTCCATGGCACAATTAGAGAGTATTATTTGAAAAAAAATTTTTTTGAAGTGTTTTTAAGAAGACCAGATTTTCTCCAGACTTTTGTTAGACCATTTTCTGGCCTAAAGCTGGCTATTGCAAAATATAAATCTTCACATAATGAGCTTACTTCATTCTCCCATTCTGTGACTTTGTAGTCAGTTGTCTCACTTCTCATATGTTAAAAGAACAATTTGTGAATGGAATATTTTGCAGAATTCTACAAAATGTAATGAACTCCTAAAGACCTGAGACATAAAGAATTAAGCACATTTATTTCCAAGTTCCCATGTTTACAAGTGTTTCTTCTCTTGGTGTTTTGTAGCTTCCCAGAATGTGGAATAAAATAATAAAAATAAAGCAATTTCTGGGAAAAGATGGTTATTGTGCAATTTGAAAAAAAGTGTATTAAGTCGCCTTATTGGCATAAAGTTGAGTACCTACCTCTCTCTTTTCCCTCATTGTCAACTTTGGCCCTTCATAGGCTCATGGAACCCTGTGCTTGAGGCCCTCAGCGATCACCTATTTGTCCACTTATTTTATAGAGAGGAAACCAGTTGTCAGAGGTTCAGGTCACTGCCCTCAAACCATACAACCAGTTAGTGTCCTTGCACCAGGACACTTGACTCTGAGGTTGCAACACTATTGCTATTATTATTACGATCATTATTCTATTTGTTATTTATAGAAACATCTGCTATTTATTACTTCTAGTAAGGCAAGAACTCTGCTGAATAGTTTACGCCTCCATTTATCATGACAGTGGTACTACGAGGGAGGTACTGTTATGTGCGTTATGGAAATGAGGAACTGAGGTTTAGACACGTTAAGAAACAGGTCCAAGACTGCACATCTAGTAAACAACAGTGGCAGGATTTGAACTCAGAATTGACAGAGTCTGTGCATGTAACCCCATCACTCACTGGACTATGAAAAGAAACCCCCAACAGCATCACAAAACAGTACTTCCTAAAGTGACTATGTGAATATCCTTCATTTGGCAAGACCTGGGTCATCCCACAAGCAGGAAGGGGATTGATTTGCCCCCAGAGTTCTTGCCTGTTTCATTCTCTGCTTTTCCCCACTGGGGGTCCATGATGTCCCCAGTCGGCAATCCATGTTCTCCTTTTTGGTTTTGGCATTTGGCCTTGTTGCTCACAGAGTGGTTATCAGCATTACTTTATAGGTGGAGATGCTGTTTCTGTCTCCACACCAAAACTACTGAATCATAATCTGCTCCCCAGGTGATCTGTGTGCACATTAAGTTTGAGAAGTAATGCTTTCGTTTTTCCAGGGCCCTTTTGGTGCTAAATATGATGCCTTTTCATGGTGCTTAATATCTTTGTCCTGGGTACCTGGTATCTGCATTGGAATCTTCACTGGGCAGAATACTTAGCTCCCTCCCCCTAGGATGACGCATACAATTTTCCCTTTCCTTGTTCCCTTCCTTCTACTCACCCTCCTACAAAGCTGTGGATGCAGATATACCAATTCAGGTTCCACAGCTCTTTGCTGCCATCTCCTGGTCACTACCACTCACTGCTGTGGCCATTGGCCCCTACACCTATTGCCCTCATGTGATGTCTTTGAATTCTGGGAGCAAGAGCACAGCTGTAGAGAGAATAGGAAGGAAGCTTCATTTTGAAACCAGACATCTGGGTGCAAATCAAGTTCTTGATCTGCTATAGAAGTTGTGTGAACTCTCATGAATCTCTTGAAGATACTATTTCCTCCTTTGTAAAGTAGGGGCCAATTTATTATCTTCTGGGTTATTGCGGGAGTCAAAACAAGATAATGAATAATGCACATTAGGGCATTTTTATGCATGCACTTGCTATTTCTGGAGATGCACAATTCGAGGCTTCTGTGACTTTTCCTAAGGTTTCAGCCATTGAAATAATACTGTGTTGAGCCTCCCCGGTGGCGCAGCGGTTGAGCGCTGGGTTGCGAAGCTGCCCTTGGCCTCTGCGGTGCCGGTTCGATCCCCGGCTGCCGGAGAGGGTCCCACATGGCACGCAGACCTCTCCTGCCACCTGTCGCTCCCCTCAGCAGTGTGCTTCGTCATCTGCCTGCTCTGCTCCCCGCTCTGGCTCTGGTGAATTCTCTCACCCTCCCACACTTCTGACTGTACCCAGTGCTTGTATAAATAAATAATAAATAAATCTTTAAAAAAAAAAAGAAATAAAATACTGTGTTGACAGGATGTGAGTGAACGGAGCAGCATGGACTATCCCCAGCTCTATGAACCTGGACAACTGAATCTACTTTTTAACAAGCGTAAATTTTTCATCTGCATGGCCCATGGAATCTACACCTCATTAGTGCTTTTCTTCATCCCCTATGGGGCCTTTTACAACTTGGCCGGAGAAGATGGGGGCCACATTGACGACTACCAGTCTTTCGCAGTCACCATGGCCACGTCTTTGGTCATTGTAGTCAGTGTACAGGTAACTCTTGGTGGAAACATCTTAACTTGATGAGTTTGCAACTTTAAAAAATTTTGTCTACTTGTTGGGAAGGGGAATTAATACTAAAGGAATACTGGGGTTTTCTTTGTAACTATACATTTTGAGATGAAATCAGGAATCTTTAAATTACCAGATGTGGGGGATCAGCATTAGGTGTCTAAGCTCCATATTGATAGAAACCTCACAGAGATTTCCTTCCTGGGACTGAGCATTGTGCAGAAAGAGAAACGATCATACTATGACTTCCTTCTGGTGTTTGAAGAAAAAAATGACAATGATAAAGAGAAACTTTGATTTTCATAAGACTTAAAAACTCCCCGGGTTTTAAGGTGAGATCTGACATGTGGCAGTGAAATATCTGTGAAATTATTCAAGAGACTGTTATATATGTGGCAAACCTGAATCTCAAATTTTAATGAAGTGCTTCTGATTTAGTAATTTGTGATGGTCTATTGACCTTCTTGAAATGTGTCTTTAGTTTTGTTTCTCAATCCTTTTCATGTAAATGGTGGATACTGCCATGCAATATTGAGTTAGAGTTCACCAAACTTTTGGAACCATGCAAATCTGTCCCTCTGGGTGGGTATATTGAGCAGTGCAACTTCTGCTTTGTTTTGTTGTCTTTGAATCACTGAATCAACACTCTGTGTTCCTGTAGTTTCAGCCCAGAGAATTCAGTGATCCACTGCTTGTTATGATGGCACACTTCAGTTCTCCTGATTCGCCTTCTGGTAGGGAGGGCAACTGTGTAATGTATAGAGAGATATTTTTAGTGGTTGCACTCCCCTTCAAGTCAGAGTTATTAGCTGGTATAGGGTAAATGAAGATTGGTCAGGCTTTTACGCTGCTGCTGACTTCTGTGGCTATCACCTCTTGCCTTGGGAGCATGGGCTTGGGGCACGCATGCCTGATGGTGGATACCTGTAATATGGGGTGGGTATGGGTAAGTGTGCACCCCTGCGCCCGGAGTCTGAGGATATAAGGGTGATGTCACACAGAGAACAGGTATGGTAGAAAGTATGAGAGGACAATCACAAGAGCACACCAGAGAAGGCCTAGAGAAAGAGTAAAGACTAGCAGGCCCCTATCTGCTCTGTAGCTGGTTGCTTGCCACTACACTTGGTAATCCAAGAGATGATTTCAAAGGTCCTAACTGAAACAAAAGTCCAACATCTGAAGGAAAAATCAAATGGGAAACTTTCTTTAAGTTGTCGTTAATATTATGTGCTATATAAGTGAGGACAACAGATTACCTGGAAAATTCATCATTAGATGTGATGGATACTATATGTTTTTACTGCAACTGGTTCTCACAATTAATGCTGTATATTGGGGTTAATTTTATCTTTATAATTGAAAAGAATCTGTTGGTATTCCTATATATCTTCTTCCTTTTGCTTGTCCATAATTATTTTTATACACTGTCAAAGCAATGCCAGTACTGTGCTTTCATGTCAACTTTGGAAGTTATTGTCCTCATAAAGCACATAGTTCTTATTACAGATAGATGTTTTATTTATACTTTTTTTCACAAGTTGAAAGATCACAAAACCATCCTGTTTCAAAGACAAAAAAAAGATGATAGAATCTTGCATCTCTGTCATGTGTAATTTCTTATCTCTGATGATCAAGATCTTATAAGGGTGATGTCTATGAGGTATTTAAACTTAGAATTCAAAATAAACACATGTCCCTCATGCCAGATGTTTTGAATGGGGCTATCCAGTTCTGTTTGGTTCAGACCTCACAGGTCATGTGTCTCACCAGGATCCATTCTCCGCCTCTGTCTCTGCATGGGCAACCGTGGCCCTGTCTGTTTAGCTTTTCTCTAATGTTAACATTATCATCTACACAATCATTGCACAGTTGTCAGTATTCTGGAATTGGCATTGGTATATTGCTATTTACTGAATGATAGGCTTTACTCAGATTTTCCATGATTGACCTTCTTCTGTTTCAGGATCTACTCTTGGATCTTGCATTGAACTTAGTTGTCATGACTCCTCAGCCTCCTCCAACCTCTGGCAATTCTCCAGGTTTTCCTTGTCTTTCATAATCCTCATTTTTTTTTTTTTTTTTTTTTGACTCTGACACTTTTGAAGAGTAGTGATCAGGTAGTTTGTGTTTTGTAGAATATCTCTGGTGCCAGCAAGCACAGGGCAGGTTCACTATGGATTTGGGCAGATGGATAAAGGAGAGTCCTAGAACCCTATTTTTCAGGCTTTAATGCACTCAGGGAACCAGGTACACAGGCACACCAGGCAGGCAGGGTGGCATGCAAGGAGGCAGGCACAGGCCGGGTAAGGTGGTGGGACTGGGAGCAGGGAGGTAACCGAGCCTCCCACCAGTCCTGCCATGAATCTTTTACTCTTTCTCTGGGCTCTGGTGTTCTCGTGGTCTTGCCTCTTCTGTAGTCATGCATCCTCCTGTAGCCGTCATCTCTGAGAGACACCACCCTTATATCCTTATATCCATATATATATCTCCTTATATCCTTATATCCCTAGCCTTAGGCTCAGGCATGCATGCCCTGTGCTCACCCACCCACCCATGTGCCTCCTGCATTAGAACAATAAAGGTGCAAGTGATAGCCACAGAGGCTGGTGGTGCAAAAAGCCCAATTAACTCACTTACCCTACACTGGATTTGTTTGGTATTTTCTTAGGGAAAGACAGATTGTGGGTTTGAGGGAAGAATCACAAAGAGGTGATGTCCCTTTCTTGTTGCATTTTTTTCCAGGAGCCCATGATATTAATATGACTTATTACTGGAGGTACTGATCTTGGTTACTTGGTTAAGATGTTTATAAGGTTTCTCTACTGTAAGCTGTTTCTCTTTTAATATTCAATCCAGTAGAAATGAATCACTAATTCCAGCAGGGGAGGATAATTTCTATTTCCTAGAGGGAGGAATAGCAAAGAGTTCCTCATGTTTGAATGTCAAAACTATAACAAGTGTAATTTTAAATAAAATTGATACAACAGTTGGGGGGCCCAGATATCACACTGTGACCACATTGCAGGTTTAGAACTGGGACCCAACAGTCTTATTCCCCAAGTCATTTTTCTTGAATTAAGGCATTTATGAGTGTTCTATTTAAAATGTGAGAGAAGCATTTCCTACAAAACTATTTATCCTTGCTTCAGGATAATTAGGTATATTTGGGAAGTGAAATACACACACAGATTTGCACTTCTCACCACAGATAGCTAGCTCTTTGGCCATACCACAGGGTTGAAGTCCTCTAAATCTTATCCCCTATGTAGTCTCCATGGCCCATACTTAGAGTCATAAATCTTATGAATATGCTATACTGATACAATAGGTAAAACTTTCTTAAAAGTTTTGTGGTTTTTCAGTTATTTGTATTATAAAATGCTCCACTTACTATTTCAAACTACATAATGTTTAAAATAGAATGAAAAATCTTTTCCTCTGCTATGTTCCCTAGTTTAAAATTATTGTGATTATCATACCTTGAATCCTTTCATATATTTTTCTTTGCTTTGAGAAACACATTTATTCAACAAACAGGGATCATAGATATATACGGTATTCTGTAAATATGCTTTTGTCACATAACTAGATATTCTAGACAACTCTCCAAGCCAACACATTCAAATCTTTATTCATCTCTTTAAGAACTACACAGGATGTCATAATATGGATATGTGGTAATTTATCAGTTAGTCCTCCACTGACAGACATTTGAGATGTTTCTTTTTCTTTTTTGGTTATGGAAGCAATGCTGCAATGTATTACAACACATATTTTACGTACTGTAAGATAAGTTCCTAGAAATAAAATGTCATGAGTAGGTAATCCTATCATTTCTCAGTCTGATAGATGAAAAAAAGGCCTTTTTCCTACTAGCTCAGAGAGAGCATATATTTTAAAATTCATAAATATTGCCATATTAATTCATAAAAGGTCATAGTTATAAACAACAGTCACTTTTTAGCTTATTTTAAAAGTTTTACTAAAAGTTACTAGGTAGTTCCAGAATCTTTAGGAGGGCTAATTAGTCTGGGAAAACACAGCTGGTCATAGCAACACCCAATAATGTAGTTCTTGGAGTGCAAATACTGCCATTACCACCTCTTACAGCTTGGCTCTGCTCACTGTGATGCCAGGTCATTCATAGGCTTCCAAAGAATCACTACCTCTACCAACCTCCTTGTCTCAAATACTGAGAAAATCTTATTCAAGTTTTGTGATTATGATTCTTATTAAGGTCTCCTTATATTGCAAGGAGAATTTACGTGATTTGAAGTGTTGTTTGCCACATAATGTTCTTGATTGTCATTTGTTCTTGGTAGTTTTTATCTGTTTTCATGAGAAAACATCCTTATTTAAATTTGTATTTTTTATATTTTACTTCTACTAAACGTATTTGACTGATGTATACCTTGGATGCATCCCTTCATTTGCATTTTTATTTTATTTTATTGGTTTTCCCTTTGATAGGGGAGTGAGCTACTTATTTTAGTTGTGATAATGTGTATTTTTTGTTTCTTTCATATTGTTTTATGACCACTTTTAATTCTATTTTTTTATTTCTTTGTTCCCATGCATTATGATTTTTAAACATACCATTTGTCATGAAAACTTAACAAGTTTTTTAAAAAGATTTATTTATTTATGCATACAAGAGCTGGGATACAGGCCAGAGATGCAGAGTGTAAGAAGATTCACCAGAGTCAGAGTGGGGAACAGAACAGGCAGATTGACCGAAGTACTCTGCTGAGGGGAGCAGCAGGCTAGTCAGGAGAGGTCTGCTGCGCCATGTGGATTGCTCCCTGGCCAGCTGGGGAACGAACTCATGCTGCAGAGGTCGTGGATTGCTTCATAGTGCTGTGCTTAACCCTTTACGCCACTAGGGAGGCCCAAAACTTAATAAGTTTTACTAGTGTATTCCCATTTTACTAACACTTTTGCCTTGGTTGTTTAAATCTATTTCCATTTTGATATTCATTTGT